TGGGGGGAGGTTCAGTTTTTATCCAAGAAAGCCTGGCTCCAGGGAGGAGACCAGTTTAAAGTCCTGCTTCAAGTTCCGGTTCCTACGTCCTGTCTCGGGCTACTCTCTTCCACTGTGCCTGCCTGTCTGCACCTGATCCTGTCTGCTCCTGTGCGTGACCACCTGGTCATGCTTCTGGTCCCAGTCAGACTCTGAACCCTTCTGGAAGCCTGTGGATGCCTGAAAGTCTGGATCCTGCCACCTGTTTCTGTTCCTGCCTGATCTGGATTCTGCCTGTTCCGTCTGTTCCTGTCTGTTCTGGATCCCTCACCAGGATCGGCTTCCAGCATCACCTCTGGGACTGCAGCACTGGGGACATTCGTGGTCTGGACTGTTAAACCAGAGTGTCTGAGATTGGGCAGTGCCCCGCCCCCCCACCTGCAGTGTCCGCGAGCCACAGCTCCGCTTTTGTTTTGTTTTATTTATTTAATAAACGTTTGAACTTTCCTACTGACTGTCTCTCCTTGAATACTGGGTCCCTCTGTCTCCGCTTTCTTGACAATATATATTTTGCTAGTATATGATTTTCTAATGTTTTCCTGAGAAAGAAAACCAAGATTAAATCTATAAAAGGGAAAATACTGTCGGGTTTATAAAATGTAGGTTTTTGCAAAAGAAGAACTGAAATACACAATTATGGATTCGATTTCTGCAGAAAGGAAAGACAGTTGAACCCCAGACTCAAACAACTGTCTCCCACTGGACCTCCTCCGCAGAGCGTTTATAAACAGAACATGACACATGGTTACAAACAGAGTATTGTTCTGACAGAACAATTGATCAGTTCATGAAGACAGAATGCTCCATCAGAATGACAAGGCAGGATGGTCTCCTGACTGAATCATGACACAGGAGTGGAGCATCCCCTCGCACAAATGTTTCATAAACACACATTAATTTTATAATCATCATTGAATAAACCTAACAAATACTTTTGTTATTGCACACATTTTCTTTAGTGCCATGAGGGAATACTCAGGGGTAAGAGATCACCCTAAATGCAAGAACCTCTTTCACATTTCAGTATATAAAACAGCAAGTTTTAGTTACTGTGGTAACCAGTACTCGAGTTGAGGGGGGGATTAAGCGGGATGGCATCCCCCTTCTTAAGAAAATCATTAAAAAAAACATCCCCCTTCTTAAATGACCATCCCCTGTGACATTTATCACTGAACGTGTAAATTTCAAAAATATATCAACAACATTTTCAACATTTTACAAGCTGTGCGCTTACGACTAGCCTGACGAAATTCAGTGGCACAGAGGGCATATGCGATTTCATTTTCAACCTCAGTGGCGCAACCAGCGGAGCAGGTTTACTGTGTTCTGAACAGCATCTTGGCCAAGGGGCAAAGACAATGCGATTTGAGGGACTTCATTTATAAGAAGATAAAAACTAGCGCTTCGGTTGTCGGAGGACATTACCTTTTATAATCTTACCATTGTGTCACCAAATATGTAGAATTGCTAATCTCTGGACATAGCGATAGCATGCACAACTAGGTAAACTAGTTTGAAGAGCAAACATTTTTCTGTCTTTAACCCTTTAAAGTCAAGTGTATCATATTTGATACAGGAGATTTTGAAACCTCTGCATCATCAGTGTGATGTTTTTGTTCTTCAAACCCTGACTTAAATAATCAGACACATGTAGTGAACAGAAAACACATAAAAGATGATATAGAAATACATAATATATCAAAATTGGTGCAAATAAATTATGTTATTTAATGTTTTTACAAAATTTATGTAGTCATTTCATTTGTCACAAAGTTCATTTTGGACGTGAATCGAACATAAAATTAATTTGTATACCGTTGCTTTTTTGCTAGGTGGAAGCCAAACTCTAGAAGATGTTGGTGAGACAAGTGGAGCTGGGACCGAGAGCAGTGGAGGAAACCCTGAGGAGAGGATCGAAGGTTTGAAAAATCCATTTTAATTAAGCAATTTAAGACACGAGTTAAGATTATTATCTTGAAAAAACTGCCAATTTGATGTAAATTTCAAGCAATTTTGGTTTTCTGATAAACAGCCTATTTTATAGAAGAAAGAATAACACTAAATAAATATTTTAAAGGTGAGTAAAATTATTAGATTATAAATAGGCATATTTAATTTTCAGGGTAATTTGAAGGTATTTGAATTTATAAGCTCTCTTTAGCCAAACTCCATCAACATATCTTCAACTCATTGTTGCTGTGCAAAACATTCACTGTAAGTTTAAATTCCTTTCTGCTTAGAAACGTTAGAAGGGTCTCTAACAAAGAAACAAAAAAATGTTTTCTATCCATTGACAATATTACTTCAGACTCTATTAATTACCATGTTGGGCATCAGCTGGTTAGTATGTTGTATGTGATCATTCTATCAGAGGTGGATAGTAGCTAGTTACATTTCAGTTACATATACTCGAATAACTGTTAGAAAAAAGAAACTTTTAGGGCTAGTTGTCCTTCACAGTACTATTCACTTTTACTTGAGTAATGCTCTTGAGAAAGTATCACTAGTCTTATTTAAGTAAACCTTCTGGTTACACTTAGCCTGACGTAGTCCTACTCAATTCTAGTCAGAATATGAGTCTGATACTGCTCCATAGAGCTGTGATTATGGGGCGTGTTTTGAACGAACCAGGAAAAAAAATGCCTCTGCACTCAATTGGATAGACCTACAACCAATAAGAGCAACGGAGTGCGTGACGTATGTTAAGCGACGCATAGCTGTTGTCACAAAAATCAAAGCGTGCAGTTGCACGCCTATAATAAGAAGATGAGCCTTGATCACGTTTCTCTGTTGCTTTTTTAAAATTAATTTGCTGTCGATATCTTCTAGAACAGACCTAATAGCAGAATCTACTCACCTCAGCTCTCCAGCGGCAGCCATTGTTGTTGTCACCCCAGCGCGCTTTGGTCACATGGTTGATCACGTTACTGTTGATCATCTGTCCATCATCGTATAAAGCCCGCCCTGACAACTTGATTGGCCCGCTAGATATTGTGCTAGCATACTCGCGCTATTGTTGAGCAATGCCAGCCCGAACTTCCCGACCTCAAACGTTGTGGGCGGGACTAAGTTCGGAATGGCACCCAGGCTTGGTTACACTACCCACCAAAAGTAACTTCTGGGGTTTGGTGAATATATGAATTATCTGACATAAAGGTAGGTTTTATAAGTTTCTACAGAGAAATATTGATTTGAAAAATTATTTCTTCTGGTGTGACAGACTGGCAACCTGTGCAGGGTGTCTCTTGCCCATAGACTGCCGGAGATAACTTAACATAACCTGAAAGGACTAAGCGGGAGAAAATGGATATATGGATGGATGGATGGTTTCCTCTGCCAGAGTTTGTATTGTGCACATCACTCTATATCTATTTAGAACATTGTAAACATTATATCAGAGGTTAGGAGCAAACAATTCCTAAGTACTTGACCCTTATTTTAGTAATTTCTTAAGAGTCTGCTTTCTACTTTTACATGAGAGAAAAAATATATATAAAGGACTGTTAATCTTACTTGGGTAAAATTTTTGTTTTCCCTTTCTTGCTCTGCATTTCACCTTTTAATTCTCAATTTGACAAAGCAATGTTTTAAACTAAGAACTTGATACAGTCCATCAGTCTGAGGAGGATTATAGTTTTTGGATTCTAGGTTTACTGATTTTATATGCCCCTCATCTCTCTTGGAGGACTGCTAAGAGCCTGACACTGATGTTCAATCATTTAATCCAGTATAAGCAATATATCCAGAAATCTTGTTTTTGTTTTACAGGTTAAACTAAGACTTAAAGTTTTATTCTGAGAGGACTGTTTTAAGTTAACAATAAAAAAAAAATAAAAAAAAGGATTAGCAATCCAAAAATAGTTTTTTTTTCTTTAATGCTTAAGATCTGGGAGATGCTAACTCCTACCTTATCGTCAACTTTAGTTGCAGTAACTGCTCTTTCCTGGGGAATAGATTTTGCCTTCACAAGACAATTCATGAGTCTCCCTTTGTATCAGAATCACTAAACTGAGCCTTACTGCCAGCATTCGAGTTTTGTTGCCAGCTTTATGTACAAATAAGGCAACAACATAATATTTACTATACCAAATATTCATGCCTTTCGCCTAAACTACCATTGACACACTAAATTTGTTTGAACAAACAGATATCAATTAAATCATGCATAGTAAATCTAGTGAGACTCAACCTAACCAGTTTTCCCAGGTCCTCTCCAATTGGGTACCAGAAAATGGGTAAGAAAGGACAAATAAGCTCTTTCTTGAATGATATAAAGTCCATTTTTAAACATTTCTAAAACAGGAAGAACAGCTCATAAACTTCCAAGAGTGATGTAAAAGCAAATAACTGCAATTAAAAAGCTCCATCATTTGACAGAACAATTATATCTGAATAATTCAGACTTATAGGGAACAGTTAAACAACAGAGCATTTGTCTGGTCTAGAAAATCAGGATCTCATACAAATTGTTATGCAAAGCGGCTGGAGGCTAATAATTTGGGCTATGAGCTTCCCTTTATACAACTAATGTAAGATAACAGGTCATGTGTCTAACTGCAAGAAGCTAAAGTGGATTATATTCATGACAATGATTTCAAACATAGCAGCAAATATATAACAGTTGCTGAAAAAGAAAATTGCTGCTCTAATAGGCCTGTCAAGTACCAGACTGCACCCTGATTTTAATAAGGGTTTAAGACCTTTTCTGCAAACCTTATTCCTCCACAGCAACGCGTGGTTTGTATTACTAGAAGTGTTTGTAGAAGCTGTTTCATAATAATGTTTCAACTGAGAGGAACATATCTCAGTGACATGTGCAGAATGGTATTTAGAGCATGAATTTTAGCCCCGCCCCTCTCCTGACACACCTCTAACAACCCAGGTTTGTAAACTTTATTTCCACAAACTTCGTCCAAAGTATTTCAAGGCATGAACACTTGTTACCCCATGGTGATGGTCCTTGTAAACAAGAATATAAAACATGTTCAACTGCAGCTACAGAGGCAACTTGCATTAAATGGAGAACTTAAAATGAAAGCTTCAGTTGGATCTGAATCAGCAGGACAAACAGGTTTGAGATCCACCCTTAAAATCACCAAGCTGAGAATAAAGAAGAGCCACTGTGTGACCACACACTTCTGGCTTCCTCTGAGCGAGTCAACAACGGGAAGAGAAAACTATTAAAACTTCCGACACATTTTCTTCAGGCTGATCAAATTCTGAAGGTGAGATTAACCAAAAACACAGCTCAGAGTCAGATTGTGAAACATTAAAAGAAGAGGGAAAAGAGCCATGACTTAGTGGACTTTCTGTCCTCTGTATTTTCAGCTTCAATCAGAGACTAAATGGCTTCTAAATCAAAGGACCATCTCTGCAGTCTGCACTCTGAGAAACTCAAACTCTTCTGTCTGGACCACGAGGAGCCCTTATGTCACATCTGCAGAGATTCTGAAAGACACGTCTACCACAGGATCCGACCCATTGATGAAGCTGCACAGAAAAAAAGGAAAGAACTTTGGGAAGATCTGGAACCTTTAAAGAAGAGACTGAAGCGATTGAAGAAAGTTAAAGATGAGTTTGATCAGACAGCAGAACATATTAAAGTCCAGGCCAGGCACACAGAGAGGCGGATTAAGGAACTGTTCAAGAAGCTCCAGCAGTTTCTGCAAGAGGAAGAGGAAGCCAGGCTTGCTGCACTGAGAGAGGAGGAGGAGCAAAAGAGTGGAATGATGAAAAGGAAGATAGACACTCTGAACAGAAAGTTAGCAGCTCTCTCAGACACAGTCAGAGCCACAGAGGATGAGCTGGCAGCTGAAGACATCTCCTTCTTGAGCAGCTACAAGGCAGCAGTGGAAAGAGTCAAGCGTTGCCCCCTGCTGGATGTTCCACTGCTGCCCTCAGGAGCTCTGATAGACCAGGCCAAACACCGGGGCAACCTGGCCTTCCACATCTGGAACAACATGAGGGACATGGTCTCCTACACCCCTCTTGTTTTGGACCCAAACACTGCTGATTCAAGTCTCTACCTGTCTAAAGATCTGACCAGTATGAAAATAGGAGATAAGCAGCCCCTTCCTGATAATCCAGAGAGGTTTGATGGCTGGTCGTCTGTTCTGAGTTCAAAGTCTTTTGAATCAGGAAATCACAGCTGGGATGTTGATGTTGGAGACAGCTCATTCTGGACCCTTGGTGTGTTAGCTGAGTCTGCTCAGAGGAAAGGAGAGACACGGTCTGGACTTGTGGTATTAGGGTTCTTTGAAGATGAATACATAGCACGGTCACCACCATCTCCTCCCACTAACCTCCCAGTACATAGAAAGCTCTGTAGGATAAGAGTTCACCTGGATTGGGACAGAGGAAAGCTGTCATTTACTGATCTGGATACAAACACTCACATACATACTTTAACCCACAACTTCACTGAGAGGATGTTTCCCTTTTTTGTTGCAGTTGAAATGAAAATTTTACCAGTGGAGATTTCTGTAATAAAACAGCAATTCTGATGTTTAGGATATGAAAATAAAGCATTATTAATCAGTGTGAAAACCAAGGCTGGGCTTCAATTTTTTACAAATGTATTAGAATATACATTATTTTACATAAAGTTTATATAAAAATATTTTCGGCAATACAATACACACACAAGACTGATTGTCCCTGTTCATTTAAGTTGAGCACATATTTTCCCCTTTGTAAAACTGATTGGAATCTATAAAGAAGAAAAAACAGCTTCCACTGAGTATATATGCAGTTTGTCTTTTTTCTTTTGTGATAATTTTAGAAGAAAAAGAAAACTAATATTCTCAGGATCTTTTCGAGTGTCAATTTGTGTGCAGCTCGATCCCCTCTTGTTTTTTTTTTTTTCAATTAAATGCTATTTTTACATCTGAGACCTCTCAGCACAGTGTGAGGATTGGAATGAACAGTTCACAGTAAGGTAATTTTATCTGACAGGCTGCAGACTCTTTTATTCTCACTTTTGTCAACAGTTGCCTGTGGGTGATGAGAAAAAAAAATTCACAGCTGCCACAATTTATCTTAAAATGCTAAAATGAATCTAACTGAACTATGACAACATCTTTACATACAGTATACTTAATGAACTGCCCTATAAAACAAATCTTAATAAGACTTACATCACAACAAGAAGCTTCATGGACATCAAAGGAGATGAAGTTCAGCTTGTTTTTCAAGGGAACAAAAGTTCACTTGGTAAGCATGAATGGTAAATTTCAACCAAAAATACAGCATCATTATAGGATCCTTTTATGCACCACAGTTAATTTTAGTCACTCTCTAAAGTGATCCGGTTGACCTGAGTCAGTGTTACCATCATCTGTGAAAAATACTCGCTGGAAAGAGTAGTAGAAGGGAGACTAAAACTGTGTGTGCAGCTTGTTTTTTTGTCTTTATGAAAGAGAGAAAAAAATTATGTTACATTTTTAGTTTGTTTGTTTTGGGGGGGGGTTGTGTTAAGATGGGGTTCTTGGATGGAAGCAATAGAAAAACTTTGATGGGAAAAGTTTGATAAAATGGTCAAAAAGAAAAAGATTGAAACAAGAACATTGTCAAGTCATGAACAGAGAAGTAGCATGGCAATAATAATAGAGTATATTCAGCAAGTTCTAAACAGAACTGCAGAGTATGTAAATGCTAAGAGCAGATGCTACAGAGAAAACTGATGGGCATGAGACAGGTGGCCAGAATTAGACAGATTATGGTAGTAGTAGATGAGAGTAAAAGACTGAATATAAATATGAATGGAAGTGAACAGAGATACTGCGGAAAACTACAAACCTAACAAAAGTGGTTAATGAAATAAACAATGAAGTTTAAAGATTACCCCTCAACAAAAAAAATAAAAAATCAAGCAAGCAATGAGCTTATAAAAGGAAACTTAGTGTATATATATATATATATATATATATATATATATATATATATATATATATATATATATATATATATATATATATATATATAGTATATTTGTAATAAACTCTTCCTCACCCATCGCGGGTGGTCTTCCCCCTTTTTTCCTCCAAGCTTGGGTCTTGTACTAGAGGCCTGGGAGCTTGAGGGCTATGGCAGTATCTTTGCGGTTCCTAGAATTGCACTCTTCCAGGGATCTACTTATGCTATGAAACAGCAAGTCTTTGTCAAAGTGCTGAATTTATCTTTACTTTAAAGTCTTAAGTCTCCCTGAAAATGAGAACATCATCGTTGTTCGATGCTGTAGCATCGAACGTATTGTTTATATTGCAACCGGTCCAAATAGGGAGTACCAATATGGTGGCTTCACTTCAACCCCATACTACCAACGGGCAATCAGCAATCCAGTGAATAAAAAGAGATCAGTGGCCCTGACAACTAAATCCCTCAATCACTATATAGAGCACGGACTATATAGTGGACTTTAGAGTGAACTCAATTAACTGACCCTTTGGGGCAGATGATCACTACTTTTTGCTCCACCGCACCTTGCCTGTACCATTTTTGTTATTAGTCCTGCCTGTACAACAAATCCAATGATACTTTGCAAGGAGAGCTCTCGCAAAGCAATCTGGAATATATATGCTCGTCTAGTGATCATGGATGCTCATTACATTTCAAGGTGCATTTTGGGAAATTTCTGATCCACTACTTTTTCATCCACTAGACCACAGGTGTCAAACTGGTTCCAGAAAGGGCCTTGTGGCTGCAGGTTTTCTTTTCAACCAAGCAATAGCACACTAGACTCCAGTCGTCTCATCAAGTGAGTCCAATCTAAACATGATGAGATGACTGGAGTCTGGAGTGCTATTGCTTGGTTGGAAAGAAGAGCTGCAGCCACACGGCCCTTTCTGGAACCAGAATTAATTTTTTTTAAATATAGTGCCCTATATACTGATTAGGGTGGACGTTCAGACACAGCCATGTATGGCCTATTTTGCTGTGTTTTGAGCAGCACTAGATGGGAACTCACAAAACCCAAGTAATGCTTGGTGCCATAAAATACAGTTTTGTATTTTCTTTGCTTTATTGAAGCCTCTTTATCTTTCAACATTCATCTGGTGATATAAATATCACCATTGAACCTTTTCGCGAAATAAACCCCAGCTGAGCAGCAGAAAACCATGTGACCTGAGTCACATTGGGGTCATCTAACTCATTACTTCCAACTGCTTTTGGCAACAGTAACAATATTAGCTAGATTCATTAGAACAGCATTACATGTGATATATCCACCTGCCCTTTGGCTATGGTCTTCATCAGATCCTGTCGTCTCTTCTGTTAGCTGCTGGGCCCGTGTTCTGAATTTAAAGACACAACAACAAACCAGTTTGCCCATATCCTGCAATCCTATTACTTCCACAATGTATCTGTGTCCCTGTCAGAGTTAGAGTAGCTCGTTCTCCAGTGTTCCTTCAAATGCAATGACTGCTCCAGAGGAAATTGAAAAATAAGACAAAGCTGCTTTTATATGATTTCCTTTTGTAATCACATCTTTAATAATCTAAAAAAAAAACAGCTGTAACTAAAAGAGAAACATACATACTTTGCTGTTTTTGTAAACCGCTACAGTGGAGCAAGAGCATATTGGTTGTAATGAAAGCTGCCTGAGTAGTCCTCTGTTGTAAAACACAGTTTGAGCATGTCCCAGCCTGCTCGTTCTAAACCATTCAATTCTGCTCTGAAACCAGCAGGGAACTGGACAAAAACACATAAATAATTCACTATGATCTGAACAACAGTGCGATATGGCCTGGATACTGATGGTCTAACAGGCAGAGAGCATTAAGCATAACTCATCGGACACGCAAAGCTTTGAACAATTATGGACAAGAAGCTGGTGGGAGGTGGAGAAAAGGTAAGGAAAAGGAGAGGCTTAGAGGAATCCATGCAATATAGATTGAAAACAGAGCAGAACAGTTTGTTATCATAACGTTCACAATGTTTTTTTACAGTCACTTCCATATGAAATCTGAATTCAAGGTCAGCTGGGGACCTTCAGTTTAAAAGGGATCCAGTTCTGGATTGAAACAGCATACACCAATACTCTAAATTTAATTTGACCTTTGTTATCACCTCCAGTGCCAAAACATACATTGAACATACAAATATTCCAACATGTTGTTGAAATATTTGCTTTTAATTTGGAATATAATAAAGAGTTAGAAACATGTTTGCTGATACCCTAATGTTAATAATAATGAAATAGTTAATATAAAAGTAACCCCCCTGTGGTTGAAAGATCCTCCTCCCCGCCCCTTTGCTGAAGCTGAATTATTTTACAGAATTTTTCACATTTACATTGACTGGCCAAATAATTTAGACTTAGACAACTTTTGCCATTTTGTATACACAGCATTTTGTACAGCTTTCATGATATTTCTATTCCATAAAGTGTAGCAGTGAGCAAATGTAAACAGTGTGAAGATGAAAACCATTACATTTCCACCTATATGCTTCACTGCATGTATAAGATTCTCTCCCTGGAACTACATGTTGTGTGCTCAGCTCTCTCTGTTCTTGAAACTTAATAAACAAAGTTAATAAATAAAATAATCAGCCAAGTGTAAATCTACCTCAGGCTTGTAGATATCTTTTACCCTCAATAATCAGAGGCAGGAAAATTACATTTCTTAGGAATGAGGAAGACATAATTCCTTCAAAACACTGAGAAATTTCATCATGATTACTTCATGTGCTAAACACCTCAACGCATCCATTTTAAATAGTAAAAATCAGATTTATACCTCATCAGATTTGCATTGTTTTTGAAAAATTTCCAGAAAGGTTAAAATTTTAATTGTTGGTTAAATTCCAAAAATTGTCATTTGTCAAACGTCCACAAGGCAAAATATTCAAACTTCAGCCGATCAGCTGAATCAGAAGAGACAAAAAGGTTAGGTTTTTCAAAATTTAATATTTTGTTGATGTTTAATTCTTTCTCTATAAAAGCTTATGTTTTTCTTACAAGCCTCAGCCTTCTTTGTATGAGGTGTTGTTGATGAAGAATGTTAATTCAAAATGTGCTAATTAAACTTGCCACCTAAGAAAAAAGATTTTCTAGCAGTCTGCTGCCAAGGAAAACAGCAGGAGTAGTTGTGTTAAACATAGGATTGAAATAATGCATCTTTAGTATTATGTATATATACATGTAACAAGGAACAAGGTACACTTTGAAAACACATCAGATCTCAATGGGGGAAAAAAAAATTATGCTATTTATTTATACTGATATGGACTGGGTGATGTGTTTAGAACAAAAGTATGCCACATCATTTGATGGAAATGAAAATTATCAATTTACAGAGGGCTGAATTTAAACACACCCCAAAAATTACAGTGAAAAAATGATACCGCAGTCTAGTCAATTTTTCTGAAATGTCATTGCAGCAACTCAAAATGGTATTCAGTAATTTGTATGGCCCCCACGTGCGTGTATGCATGCCTGACAATGTCGGGGCATGCTCCTAATGAGACAACGGATGGTGTCCTGGGGTATCTTCTCCCAGATCT